GTAGTCATGTATGGATGTGAGAGTTGGACCATAAAGAAAGCTGAGCACTGAAAAATTGATGCTTTTGAACTGTGGTGTTGGAGAAGACTCTTGAGAGTCTCTTGGACTGCAAGGAGATCCAACCAATCCATCCTAAAGCTGATCAGTCTTGGGTGTTCATTGGAAAGACTGATGCTGAAGCTGAAACTCCAATACTTTGGCCACCTCATGCGAAGAGTTGACTCATTGGAAAAGACCCTGATGCTGGGAGGGATTGGGGGCAGGAAGAGAAGGGGATAACAGAGGATGAGATGGTTGGATGGCATCACCGACTCGATGGACTTGGGTTTGAGTAAACTCCTGGAGTTGATGATGGACAGGAAGGCCTGGCGTGCTGTGATTCATGGGGTCGCAAAGAGTTGGACACGATTGAGTGACTGAACTGAACTGAATGATTGATCACTGCAAAAATATAATAATAATGATCATCTCTGCAGAAGGAAGTAGTCTTGGGAGTAGGGTTGGGATGTTATGAAGGGAGACTTTTATACATTATACCCTTTAAAAATAATTTCATTATTTATAAAGAAACTATTCCTAATATTCCTAAATTTTAAAAATATATTGTTGGATAATACTATGAAAAATTAACTGATTTTTTTTTATTATTTCTCTTTGCCCCCTGGATTCTTTCCCCCACCCAGTCAGCAAGGCATTCTGAGTTTATCACATTCAGAAGGTAAAGACTCTGCAGAAATTAGGAAGAGAAAAAGAAAATTCTTAGCTTTGGAATGTTCAAAAATAATAGGAGCCATAGTAGAACATGTGAGAATTCTGTGAACAGAAAAATCTCATCTCAACTGAGAAGGTACTCCCTCCAGTGAGGGGTAGGAGAGAGAGGGAGGGAAAGATTGAGGGAGGGAGATCCCTGTGGCTGGGGACAAGGAAACTGTGCTTGGGGCCAGGCTGATATGCCCAGGAACAGAATTCGTTTCTGAAGACATCCAGCCTGCATGTGATCATTGCCTTGGCCACCACTGCCCATCTCAGACCCTCTGGAAACTCTGAGAGGTAGTGAGTGTAAGTCAGGAGGGCCACACACACAGTCTGCGTGGCAAGCAAGGATTGTGGCCATTCGCTAACTTTGAGAAATCCCCAAATATTTTCATTTTTTGCTCTAGTTCAGTTAAATGAATTTCAGGGAGTTCAGTTACATCTACTGAGCTAGAATCCTAACCAACAGTTCAAAAAAAAAAGATAAGCTCAAATATGACTTCAAACTGCAGAAACGTTACATTCTTCTGAGCATGATTCAGTCTCTTAACTCAAAACTTGTAAGTGGCCCTGCAGAGAAGATAGGCTTCCCAGGTGGTGCCAGTAGTAAAGAATTTCCCTGCCAGTGCAGGAGGCATAACAGATGAGGGCTTGATTCCTGGGTCAGGAAGATCCCCTGGAGGAGGGCATGGCAACCCACTCCAGTACTCTTGCCTGGGAAATCCCATGAACAAAGGAGCCTGGCAGGCTACAGTCCATAGGGACACAAAGAGTCAGATGTGACTGAAGTGACTTAACACATATTGCAGAGAAGATACATTGTGATATGTGAACTCGTCTTGGTCAGAAAAGTATTCAAGCTGCAGGCTTCAATTCCCTCTTCCACAGTCAACTTGGATCTTGTGAGAATAGGTAAGCACAGTGATAATTGCGCCCTGCAATGCTAAATCCTGCCTACAGGCCCTCATGTTACCCTCGGTCCATGCTTACAGGGAAGTCTATCCTAGTAGGAACAGCAGTGAGAACTCTCATTTAATAACCAATATCCTACCAATTTATGTGGAGGTCAGTGGAAGAGAGAAGTCCAAAATCTCTCAAGAAAGTAAGAGATGATAAAGACTTAGGAAAAGAGGGGAAAAGGATAAATCTTGGTAAGTTCAAGAGCAGGAGAAGAGGAACCAAGATGAAGGTTGTGGAGTGTGCAGAGAATATCATAGTGTGAGTGAAATCTCCCACGTGGCATGAGTTTGGAAGGGAGGGATAAACCTTAAATTCTGAATTCATCGGGATGACTGTGGAGAGGAGGCACTCGGGACCCTGAAGGGATGTGTCTGTATGGATGAAAGATCCTTTCCCAGATGGAGAGACTGGGGACCATGAAGCCAATTTTTTATTGGAGTATAGTTGATTTACAATGTTGTGTTAGTTTCTGGTGGACAGCAAAGTGATTCAGTTTTTTATATATATGTATATATATGTGTGTGTGTGTGTGTGTGTGTGTGTTCATATTCTTTTTCAATAGGTTATTTTTATTGAATATAGTTCCCTGTGCTATATAGTAGGACCCTGTTAGTTATCTATTTTATATTTAGTAGTTCATATCTGCTAATCCCAAACTCCTAATTTATCCCTCCCCATCCCCTTTCCCCTTTGGTAACTGTAAATTTGTTTCTATGAGTCTGTTCCTATTTTGTAAATAAGTTCATTTGTATCATATTCTACATTCCATGTAAATCATATGATATTTGCCTTTCTCTGTTTGATTTACATCACCAAGTGTGATAATTTCTAGGTCCATCCATGTTGCTGCAAATGGCATTATTTCATTCTTTTTATGGCTAAGAAGTACTCCAGTGTATATATGTACCACATTTTTTCTTTTTTTAAATTTTTTATTGAAGGATAATTGCTTTACAGAATTTTGTTGTTTTATGTCAAACCTCAACCTGAATCAGCCATAGGTATACATATGTCCCCTCCCTGTCAAACTCCCCTCCCATCTCCTTCCCATCCCACCCCTCGAGGTTGATACAGATCCCCTGTTTGAGTTTCTTAGCCACACAGCAAATTCCCATTGGCTATCTATTTTACATACGGCAATGTAAGTTTCCATGTTACTCTTTCCATACATCTCACCCTCTCCTCCCCTCTCCCCATGTCCACAAGTCTATTCTCTATNTTGAGATTAATCCTTTGTCAGTTGCTTCATTTGCTATTATTTCCTCCCAATCTGAGGGCTGTCTTTTCACCTTGCTTATAGTTTCCTTTGTTGTGCAAAAGCTTTTAAGTTTAATCAGGTCCCACTTGCTTACTTTTGTTTTTATTTCTGTAACTCTAGGAGGTGGGTCATAGAGGATCTTGCTTTGATTTGTGTCATCGAGTTCTGCCTATGTTTTCTTCTAAGAGTTTTATAGTTTCTGGTCTTGCATTTAGGTCTTTAATCCATTTTGAGTTTATCTTTGTGTGTGGTGTTAGGAAATGTTCTAATTTTGTTATTTTACATGTAACTCTCCAGTTTTCCTCCCAGCACTGTTTATTGAAGAGGCTGTCTTTGCCCCATTGCACACTCTTGCCTCCTTTGTCAAGTATAAGGTATTCATAGGTGCATGGGTTTATTTCTGGGCTTTCTATCTTGTTCCATTGGTCTATGTTTCTGTTTTTGTGCCAGCACCACACTGTCTTGATGACTGTAGCTTTGTAGTATAGTCTGAAGTCAGGAAGGCTGATTCCGCCAGCTCCATTCTTCTCTCTCAAGTCTGCTTAGTTTGGGAAGCTGGCTTATTATTTTTATCTAAATAATAATGACAAAACCAGATCCCTGGAACCATTGTTGATCAATGAAGCCCAGTGGAAGTCTCCTTATATATCCTGAGGAAAAAAAAAAATAAACCCATGGGACTTTGGAATTAGACCTTATTCTGCTTAAACTGACAAAAGTCTCTGAACTGCAAAATGATTTCCTTCTATCAGTCCTACCAAAACCTGATTTTGGCCCCTTACCCAGATGAGGAAGATACATTATTCCTCCCTTACCTTAAAGACCATGGATCATACATCAAAGCGAGTCTTCCATGCCTCCCAGAGCCTTTGACTCCACTGGGTGGTAGCAGTGATGAGAAGACATAGTTCAGAGGTGATGCAGTCAAAACCTTGAGAGGCTAGAATAAGAATTTATTTAGAAAATGAAATGCATCAGAATTAGTTTAGACTCCTAACATGGTAATCTTTTCTCCAAATTCCTGATGGAGGTCAGATGCCCCCTCTTTCAGCACTATAATAATGTCTTACCATCTCAGGAGGAAACTGTTCCATCAGTAGCTTCAAGACTGGGGAATTCCTCCTCTGTCCCAGTTTCATTGTGAAACTAGTCAAGTCTCTCTCCCAATCTAGCCCTGAAGACACATACACCACCCTCCATCCTCTAAAGTTACTGGTCACAGCATTTTCAATCATGACCGACTGGACACAGCTCCCACAGCACCTGCCACTTCCCAGTGACTTTACCTGAACTCAGTGTGGTCTGCCATGTTTTCATGTAAAACATGGTATCCAGTCTTCAAAAACTAATCACACAGAAGCCTCATCAACCCTGGGAGCTTGGGGACTGCTGCTTCTGGAAAAGGCTGGTGGACGTCTTTGGTGCTTCTGTGAAACTTTGTTGACAAACAAACCACTAGAGATATAGATGTAGATGACTGATAGATGGATGCATAGGTAGATAAATGTAATTAAATAAAATATCCAGGAAAGGTTTGGGAAATACCCTTTATTACATATCATGTTTATACTGTCATATGATGTTGGACTCAATGCCAGCCCCTTCATCCTCCTTCGGACCACTGGCATTCTGTCTGCTACTCTCTCCAGGGTCCTTTCTTCTCTCTGGAAGGGAGAAAACAAATGACGCAGGACAGGAAGAGACAAGAAGCACCAGGGGCTCTGCTGGTCAGAGTTACCCTTCACCTCTGCCTCGAAGCTCAAGAGCCACGCACACCACAGAGAGTCAGACTCCAGATCAAACTATCACACAATGATGGTTGCATGGCATCAGTGGCTCAATGGAAATGAGTTTGAGCAAGCTCTGGGAGTTGCTGATGGACAGGGAAACGGTGTGCTACAGTCCATGGGCTCGCAAAGAGTCAGACATGACTGAGCAACTGAACTGAACTGATCACACAGTGAAGGTTCTGGAATATATTTCCAGACCTCAGGGGACCTCATTTCCATATGACTCCCTCTTCCACTCTCCTCTGTCCCAGAACTCTAGGTAGAGTGGTCAGGGTGAGGTCCTGGCTCAGGTCACAGGCTCTCAAGACCTCAAACTGTGGGTTCTGCGAGGCCCCTGTTCTCTTTCCAGACCACTCCTGGTTCTCTCTACCAAGACGAGCTACTGGCAATACATCCTCTTAGAGTCGAAGTCAATCATGGAGACCCTGAGAAAACTCAATCAAAACATTCCACCTTCTTGTCTAAATCAACAGAGGTCAATCCCTCCCAAGTGTTGCGTGGGCCCCAAGGTGATGCGACAGCAGAGTCATCAGGTAACCCAGAGCATCTCCTCGGCCCCTTCCCTTAGATTCCTCTGGGCCCTCGTGACATAGGCTCAGAAGACTGTGCCAGCCTCAGGTCTCACCTCTTCCGAGAGAAGGCCACGCCATCTTCCAGGATCTTCTGGCCCATGAATTATCAGTTGCTATGTGGAAATCAAGAGAGATGCTTTTGAGTTAAAGAGAACTTCCAAGGGAAGCTGAAAAACTCAGGATAAATTCCCTCTTACAGTCATGACTTTATTAAAATGCCTGGGCCAGAAGCAAGGGGCCCAGTTGCCCACTTCGGCTGTCCCCTGAGGTGAGAAAGCCCCACCTCTCCCTTCTGAGCCAAGGTGGAGAGACAGGACTGGAGAAGATACAGCGCCCGCTGCAGCCCTGGGCCCTGCTCACTTCCGGTCCTTGGGAGAATGGAACACACAGCCCGGACACTGGCTCCAGGGTCTCCTCAAGCTGACATCTTCCCCCGCAGGCTGCTGCTCCTCCTTTTCCTTTTCCTCCTGCTTCTCGTCTTCCCCGTCCTCGTCCTCGTCCTCGTCCTCCACCTCCTCCTCAGGGGTGTTCTCCGATTCTGCCTTGCCTGTCAGCTGGGCCATGGTGAGATGAAAGACGTGGCAGCTGAAGCCCTCGCGGATGCCATTCTGCACATGCTCCTGCAGGACCTCCAGGCTGGGGAAGACCCGGCAGCAGGCCATGCAGCGGAAGCCGGTCTCCATGGTCACCAGCCAGTCGGGTGTCCGGGCCCGGGGTCTCTCCTCAACAGTGGGCGACCCTGGGGCGGGGCTGTCCGCCTCAGCCCTCTCCTCGTGCTCTCTCTCCTCCCCGCTAGGCTCGCTGTCAGACAGGAGGTTTCTGGTGGACACGTCCGAGGGGGGAGTCCCCACCCGCACGTCCTCAGGAAGGGTCACTTCCTCCATCCTCGGCTGCTTTTCTAGCGACTCCGAGGGTCTCTCTGCCTCCCAGGAGACAGCAACACCCTTTTTCATTTGTACCTGCATGTAGTATATTTTCATGCCCCTCTTCTCTTTGTTCATATGCAGAGAGGTTGCGCAGGTCTTGTAGGATGAAGGGGAGGAGGAGACACGTGGTGACAGGGGAGCCATCTCCCCTTGTTCTTGAAGATGGGCTAGGGGTGCTCTAGGCTGGGGACTGTCTCGATGCAACTTCCAGATTCCTGGGAAAGGAAATTAGAAACATAAGAACATGCATGGGCCCTTCCAGGAGCCGAGGGTGCAGGTGTGGGGAGCAACATCCACATGACACAGTTATGTCATGAGCTTGGGGTTTGTTGGCCATAGGATGGGGTGGGGTATGTGTTGGCATCTGTGGGCTCTTCATCTGTGGGCAGGGGAGCAGATACTGGAGCCACATCTGTGTGCAGGCATGTGGAGTGTGGTGCGGGGGCATGCTGTGGTATGTGAGGGATGCTGGTGGGTGTGTTTACGAGGAACAGGTGAGTTGGGGAATATCACTGATGTGTTACTTGTGGAAGGTGGGCTGTGGTATGGGAGGAGGGCCCTGGGGAATCACCTGATTCGGGTTGGTCTCTCGGCTGAGAATGGCTATGAGTGGAGAGCGGATGCACATGGGAGGTGTGTGGACCTGAGCAGCATGGTCCTGCCCTTGGGCTGAGCTCAAGAACTCTGTCCTTCTCTGGAAACAAAGGCAAAGATGAGTGCTACATGTCCCTCCAAAGATGCTAAACCTGGTCCCTCTGCCCTCCACTTTAAGCCCAGACCTCTCCAGCCCCTCTCCTTAACTTCCCCATGATGGTGGGACCAAGACTCACACACCCCCACGCTGAGCTTGGTCCATGCCCTCCTAATAGCTCAGATGTCCTCCCCAGGCTCCTCCACAGGGCCCTGACCACCTCTGAGAACCCTCAGTTTCTGCTCAGCCTCGCTGGGACCTATGTGTCCCTGCTCCAGAGCCAAGCACCCTTACACTCAAGGATTCCCGCGCTCTTACCACCATGGATGAGCTTGCGTGGAGAAGAAACACAGGAGAAGTATTCAGAGGCAGAAGAGACCTCCCCTGACCCTTGGGGGCAGACTTGGGCCACTGCAGTGCATCCTAGCTGAGGGGGATCCTCTTGTGATTTTGAGATTCCTGGGAGAGAAATTAGAGGCTGAGAGAGAGAGTGGTTTGGACATGTTTGCTCATCAGTCGTCTGTCCAACAAATATTTACCAAGTGTCTGACACATGTTAGGTGCAGTGAATACACATGGTTTGGAGCATGTTTCCTGGTATATACTCCAGAATTCAATTAAAATCAATAACTATTCTGTTGGTGTATTTGGGGGAACGTAGGTCTGAGAGGTGACTGTAAGTATATAGAAATATGAGTGATGTGTACTAGTCAAGTCTGTGATAAGTGTCAATGTGGTAAGCACAGTGCAAATGTGTGCATCTGTGTCTGTGGCACTTGTGTGTATGGTTTCTGTTTACAATTCAGGAATTATGGCACATGTAACTCTTCCTCATGACATGGCATGGCTTGTATTTATGGTTTGTGTTCATTCATTCATTCAATAAGATTCAGTGAGCAGTCACTATGTATCTGGCACTATTCCATTATTCTGATCTCTGGTAAAGCTGAGCATTCTAGTGGGGGAAGACAGACACTAAACAAAACTATAAACAATATAAGAATATAATCAGTACATAATACATCAGCAGGTGCCAGAGTTAGCAAACAAAAATACAGGACACCCAATTTTCAATGTGTGGTTTAATAAGGAGCTTATGTGTGGAGGGGTGTGATATTTCTGCTATATCACAGTGTACATGAGTATATGAGTGACTGTCATGAAACACCCCTTACATACTCTGAGGGTCGCCCAGGTCCCAGCCCGGTGACAAGAACTTTACCATGTGGACTTTATATCTGATAAGCACTCCGCCCCCATTCTCCCCACTCTCCCTCCTCTCACACACACACACACACACACACAGAAACATTCTGATGTGTAAGGGGCAGGGTAGTCATTGCTTTCCCCATCCTGTCGCAGCTGCTGCCTGCTTCCAAGTCCCAGCCTAGGGTCGCCGGGGCCCTGGGCCCGGTGGGAGCTGTGGCTCTACTCTGGGGCCCAGGCCTCCAGCTGGAACTCTGGGGTGGGCTGCATTCTGCCCACTTCCTCACCTGACCACGCCCTCTCCCAGGGAGACTGCCCACCTGCACTTAATGCACGCAGGCACCTTGGAGCCGTGGCTCTCAGAGCTCCCTACAGGACTCTTAGCAACATTTCTCACCCCCACCCTTGTCTCGGGTTCTGGAAGGACCTTCCCCTCTCCCTCAGTCTCCTTTGGGAAATTCTTCCTGTCGAATGATAAAACCTCCATGTTTTCTATAGGATGCCATCCCTAGACAAACAACCTGCTTTTGAAGAGCATTCCACTCCTTGAGATATTTTCCAACAAGGCCTTCAGCTCATGGGGCTTCTCTTTCCTCTTTGGTAAAAGGGGCCAAGCAACCCACGGATCTGTCTCAGCATCCTTCACATCCCCTAGCCCGTGACCCCAGGGGAAAAAGCAAAGAGAAGCAGAAAGAACTCGAAGATTGAGAAAAGCTGCGTGTCTAGGTCTGTGCGGGCAGGATACAGCCTCTGCGAGTGCCACGAAGCCCCAGGCTTGCGGCCCCTGGACAGTCCTCAAACCAGCAGGACCGACCTCCCACCCGCCTGGGGCATCTGGCCCTTCCGTGGCCATCTCACACCGTGGAGACCTCCCCCTGGCTGGATACAGCAACATCACCAAGACTGTGATGGTATCTTGCTCCCTGCTTCATATGTAACAGGTTCTCAGTGCCCCCTTCCTAGAGAAGGCTCAGGTTGGCAGAAACCCCTGTGCCCCAGACAAATTGCCCCCACATACCTCCTCCTTTCTCCGCAGTCTCCTGGGACTCTTCATTTTCCAGGTGTTTCCTCTTCTGTCGCCTTTTCATCGTCCCAACTAGAAGACCCCCTCGAAGAAGATGCCACACGTCCAGCTCCTCCTCTTGGCTACAGGTTGGCCCTTCTTGGCTCTCCGGAGACCCGCTGAAATGACTTGATAATTAAATCGAGTAAAAGCAGTCAAGTCTCCGAAGTGGCTGAAGAACTCGGACCACTTAAAGCAGCAGCACTGCCCAGCGCTCTCCACAGCGCAGGGCTGTTAAGGTTCAAAGGTCGCCAGGCCCACAGCAGGATTCTCTGACCTCAGTGATGACATCAGAGCCTTCTGTGGACCTAGGGGCAATGCTGTCTCTGCAAAAGCACAGACCTCGTTTTTTCAAGAACAATTCCTTTTTCCCCGAAGAACCCCACCCATGAATTCAACTCTCACATCTTTCAAATGTAGCAGGATATTTTAAGATGTTAATCTGTTCCTGTTTATTTTTTTTTTCTTTTCTCCCTTTATTTCACTCTTTCCCTTCTGCATTCAAGTGGGTAGCAGATCCTGTGTTCGCTGGCCAGTGGAAGAACAGGGCAGGGTGCAGCAGCAATGGCATGCTGATCATCTTGGCTTTTATTTCTGAAATCCCAAACACCATGGAAAAGAGACAATACTTGAGCAGAAATGTAACAGAAGCAGGTTTTTTAAATTACATACTGTCTTGTTTCCCTCTTGGAATGTTGAAAGGCGCTAATTAAGTCAGAGAGGGACGTCTGTGGATCCTGGAGGAGAAAAGGCCTCTCAAGCGTGGCTGGAGGGGTAGATGGGGCAAAAATTCTAGAAGGAGATGGCTGTCGTGTGCATACCAGCAGAATGATGGCAATCTGTCCCACATCTGGCACATGCCTGCTCAGCTGCTCAGTCGTGTCTGCCTCTTTTTGACCCCATGGACTACAGACCGCCAGGCTCCCCACCCATGGGATTTTCCAGGCAGGAATACTGGACCAGGTTACTATTTCCTTTTCCAGGGGATCTTCCTGATCCAGAGATCGAACCTGGGTCTCCTGCATCGGCAGGTGGATTCTTTACCGCTGAGCCACGAGGGAACCCACATGGCACAGAAGCCACCAAACCTAAAGGAGGGAAGGCGTCCGAGTGGATGGACGTCTTCACTGCACTGTGTGCTCCAGTCAACAACGACCACGTGTCCGTCCCCTCCCTCAAAACCTTGGCCCTCTATGACTTCCAAACAGGGATGGGTGGAAATCCAAAGAGGACACCAGCAGGATCAAGGCTTAAAATACAAATTAAATGGAGTTGTAAAAAAAATTTGTCATACTATTTCTTGCACACCTCTGCTTGTGGTCTGTAATTTATACCAGTTAAAAGTGGCAATCCATCTGGATCCTCCTGACTCCACTCTAGAATTAGGGTACACCTCATTTCGGGGTGCTGGCCAGGATCCAGTGGCAGTGCTGGCACATAAGGATGGCGTGGACTCCCAGAAGTCACTGCTTTCATTAGAAACACCCTGGGGACTGAGGCGGGCCCCCATGTGCAAGGGCACTGCAGAATGGCTGAAAGTTTCCGTCAGCGAAGGGGGTGAAGACAGGACATCAACAGCCTCGGGAGGGTTTGCTGATGAGAGTAAATCTTCCTGTTTCTTGGTGGATCCCAAGAAAAGGAGGGACAAGGAGGAGTTTTTCTTTTAATTATTTTTGGCGGTAGGAATTTTTAAACATACACAAAGTAAAGAGAATGATATAGTAGGAATGCAGTGTCGTTTACTCATCACTCAGTTTCAACAATTATTAATATTCTACCATTCTTGTTCTGCTAGACACACACACACACACACACACACACACACACACACTCACTCTCACACTTAGCTTTCTGCTCATTTATTTTAGTTTAGGAGTTTGGGGAGGGTGGGGGAAGTGTTCTATCTTAATGCAAATCTCAGACATCATGTCATTTCTCCTTAAATGTAATAGTATTTATCTCCAACAGATAAGAACTTGTTTCTAACATAACAACAACATCATTATCTCACCCCCAAAATTTAATCATCATTTCTTCTTAGCACGATAACCAAGCCATACTCAATTTCCTCCAACTGGGTTAAAATGTCTTTTTTATACAAGGTCCATTGAAATCAAAATTTAAACAAGGTCCACATGTTGCAATTGGCGGATGTGTCTGTTAGTCTACAACAGCTCTCCCTCCTTTTTTGGCACTGATTTATTGAAGAAACTAAGTAATTTATCCTGTAGAATTTTCCACAGAAGTCTATTGACTATATTCCTGTAATATTATTTAAGATGCTCCCTTTTACCTAATTTTCCTTATAAACAGTCAGAGCTAAAGAATTAATTAGATTTAGATGCAATTTCACATTACTACAAGCTTATTTTGCAAGTGATGCTGTGTACTATCCTATTGCTTTGCAACAGAAAGTACAAAAATTGTCCTATTTTTAACGAAGTTAAGATTGACCAGTGAGTTCAAGTACTGTCAGGTTGATCCCTTCGTATTTACAAGTTTCACATCCACAGATTCAACCAACCTCAGATAAAAACTTGATTTATGTTTGGTTGACTCTAAAGATGTGTATTTACTGAAAAAAAAAAAAATCCACCTATAGGTGGATTCAAACCCACAAGTTCAAACCCATAGTGTTGCAGAGTCAGCTATAGTTCCGAGTCCAGTGTGGAGGGTCAGGGTGTTCCCCATACCACCAAGTGGGACCACATACCGGGGGTTGTATAAATGCAGCTCAGTTCTGACACTGCCTAGTCAAAGACAGCGTCAGACCCCGCAGATTAAGGGCTCAGTGCTACAAGAACACGCATGCACACATATACACTCAGATGCCAGTAGCAAGTCAAGGTTGCCACCTGTGCTTCAGTTGCCTTGAGCATGATTAATTCATTCACACAAAGTGGAGTCACAGACCTCAGAGAAACATTTTACTTACTACATATTACTAATTATATATCTATATATATATATAACATTACACACACACACACACACACACACACACACATATATATAAACTCAGGAACAGTCAGATGGAAGAGAGGCATTGGGAAAGGATCCAAGTCTTTCCTGCTCTCTGAGCATGCCTTTTCCTGAAGTCTCCACATGTCCACCAGCTCAGAAGCAGCCCAAAGCCCTTCTTTTGGGTTATTATGGAGGCTTCATAATAAACATAATTGATTAAACCATTTGCTTTTGGTGAATCACTCAACCTCCAGCCCTCTCTGACCTCCCCAGAGGGGTGAGAATGAAAGTTTCAACCCTCTAATCACTTGGCTGGCTCCACTAGCAATCCGCCTCCACCCTTAGTTGGTTTCCAAAAGTCACCTCATTAATGTAACAAACGACACTTTCACTGCTCTCAACACTTAAGAAATTCCAAAGGTTTCAGAGCTCTGTGCCAAAAATATAGAAAACCAAACATCAATGCCTTATTATATCACACAACCACCTTCATTCCCACAGCACTGCCTTCAAGAGATTGTACAGTCTATATTTCAGTATTTTCAGTGATAGGAAACAATTCCCCCCAAAGCAGCTCTGACACTGATCTATAGAAAACTTAAGAAAAAGAAGGAACTTCAATATCCCTGAGGCTTTCCCCATGCACCCCAGTTATACCCTTTGGAGACCATATCCATCAGAATAAACTTCATCATTTCATTGTAACAAGTAATTCCCCAAAATCTCAGTGGTTTAAAAAAACAGAGGTTCATTTCTGACTCCTTGTGCACATCCATTATGAGCTGGCTAGGAATTCTGATCCTCATAGTCCTTATTCCTGGAACCAGGCTGACAAAGCTATCACTCTTAATCATCTTTTGTAGACAAAAAGAATTCTGGAGCCTTACATTAGTAATGTGAGTTCTGGCCCCAAAGTGACACACATCATGTCCACCCAAAATTGTGGACCACAATCTTATTGTATGTCTCCCCATTTTCTAGGTTCATTAGGCAAAAATAATTGTGAACAATACTACTGAATAGCACAGAAACTATATAGAAAAATTCTAATATCTCCCCATTAAATACAAGACATGACATAGCTTTTTGTGAAGCTATGCATTCACAAAATTAGAGCTAGAACTCAGATCTCTTAGATCATGATTCAGAACCTTTTTCCACTAGGCTCTGTTAGAATTTTTATACCAGGACAATGTAGCTGGGATAATATTGCATTTACTTCATTCTTTGTTTTGTTTCTTTTTTATAAATAGATTTAAGAGAGAGGGTTTGGAAGCCCCTAAAACACTTACCTTAAACTGAAAAGCAACTGGAAAATAGTCTCACTGTCTTTTGAAATGTTTGACCTGGTAAAGATTAGATGTCTGGGAGGCTTTTATATTCTGAATATAGGGAATACAAAGAAAACAATCTTCCTGAGACTTTAAGAAACAATGACAGAAAAACTCTTGACTCCCACTTTGCTTTCTGATTATCTTGTTGACACTTCAGTTCTTTGAGTAATAGTGGTGGAAACAGAGTTTAGCCAAGATAAAAGTATATATGAGAGTGTGGCAGCCCCTGCAGAACCACATTACAGGGTAAATGCTTTAGCTCAGTCCCTATTTGCTCATAGGTCTGCGCAAAGTAACAAATGGTTCTGAAACATTTATTCCAAATAGCTTTGTTCTTATTACTTTAAAGATGACTTGGCTGCCAAATACTTGCTCTGTGATGAAAAAGAACGTGTACATGGGAGGAAGATTTATGCATTAAGATACGCTGCTTATTTTGCTTCTGCAGATACAATGCACATCTAATGAATTAGGGGCAATCTTCCTCTCTTACCCAAATTGTAGATAAATGAGTATGTCATTCCCCTTCCTTCAGTGCATCCTAGTCATAGTCATTTTCTTTAAGAATATTGTTCCCCTGCTCAAATCTTAAATGGCTTCTCAATATGAGAAGAATAAAATCTAAAATACTCAACCAAACATACAACACCCAGCAGGGCTGAAGACCCTACTGAGTTTTCCAAGCTAAACATAACACTTGCCTTCCAGCCTTCACTCAGCTACATCAAACTTCCCGCCCTCAATAAGAGGATAGCCCCTTGCTCAAGTCACTTCTTTCAAAAGTGCAAGTTTTCAAAGTACAACTTGTTTTTAAGTTCAACTAAAATCCCAACTTTCTACAAGAAGCTCTTCCAGACATCCCATTGAGAATGGACCACACATTTTCATAGCAAGTTACTTGTACCTCTGTGATAATTCTTCTTACATTCTTTATTTGAGGAGGCTCTTAATAGATGTGCCTGATTTCCTCACAACACAGGATGTGAACCCTTGGAAGGTAGAGGCCAAGATTCCTTATATCCAAATTTTCCACAGCTCCTTGCACTAAGTATGATAGTGAGCAGGACCCTGTGGGACTCCTGGGCAAAAAAAGTCTTTCTGGGTCCCCCTCGTCTTGATTACAGGAAATAGGCTTCATTCAGCTTCCATGTCCTTCCCTGAGCTCCAATCAGTTTAGTTCAGTCGCTCAGTCATGTCTGACTCTTTGTGACCCCATGAACCCGCAGCACACTAGGCTTCCCTGTCCATCACCAACTCCTGGAGCTTGCTCAAACTCTTGTCTATCGAGTCAGTGATGCCATCCAACCATCTCATCCTCTGTCATCACCTTCTCTCCTGCCTTCAATTTTCCCGGCATCAGGGTCTTTTTCAGTGAGTCATTTCTTCAAATCCGCTGGCCAAAGTATCGGAGTTTCAGTTTCAGCATTAGTCCTTCCAATGCATATTCAGGACTGATTTCCTTTAGGATTGACTAGTTTGATCTCCTTGCTGTCCAAATGACTCTCAACAGTCTTCTCCAACACCACAGCTCAAAAGCATCAATTTTTCAGTGCTCAGCCTTCCTTA